GTTCCATTCGAATCGAGAACGTTCACGAGACGTGCCCAATCGGTTTTTTAAAATTGCCAAACAGAATATCTACGAATTCATCTCTTGGGTTCTTTAAAACCGCATACCGTCGTACATTGTATTACGGGCGGCCCGTTTGTCACGTGCGCGTTCCTTCACGCATTTTCATGCTGACGCCAAATGCGAGTCTTATCGCGTTCCGAGGGAGAGACGTCCTGAATCCGCGGGAACATCGCCTGGTGTTCGACTTGAAATATTTTCAAAACTGTTCCGAGGACGTCTTAACTAGTCTTCTCCTATTCTCCTTACTGAGATAATGCAATGCTTATCGACTTTTGCTGTTGGAGCTTCTAAATTTTTATTTATTTATAAAAGACTTTTATTATGACTTTGAAATGGCAATGATTTATTATTCGTTCCGGAGTTGCAGGAATTACAATATTTATTATTATCAATAATTTTCTTTTTTTTATAATTGTAACAATTTTGTTGCAGACGCTAAGAAAGAAGGAACGGGAATACGAGCACGAGATGGAGAGGCTCGCCAGGGAGAAGATCGCTGCTCAACAAAGATTATTAGCTCTGAAAAAAGAACTCGCTGCTACCTGGGATCACATTGATTTTAATACTCTTTTACCGGAACAGAATTCGGTGGCCGACGTGACAGCCACGAGAAGCGGTAAGCTGTTCGACGCTATTTTAATTCTATTTATATTTCTTTTTTACATAATTTTATAAAGTCGACGATGTATGAAATTTGTGTGAAACAAGAACGATTTTTTTGTACAGTTTCAGAGACCATGGAAGTCGATGTGACCGGACTGGCTCGGGGCGGCACCAGGTACAGCAGTACCAGCAGTCTGAGCAGTGCGGCTACGGCTAGTTCGCCCCAAACCCTTCAGAACACCAGCACGACTTCGAACATCCACAATCAGGTCGCCACCGCGGCTGTTGTCTGTCAGACGCAGGGTATGAACCTCGCGTCTAACTCTAGGGAGAGTCCACCCGCGAGTTCGAGTCCCGGAACGCCCGCACCTAGCATTCCCACACCGGCTCAGGTAATAATTTTTTTTTAGAAAATTTGATATTCATTAAAAGCTCAAAGCTTACGAATTCTCATTATTTTCTATAATATTTAATCGGGATTATTGATATGGTATTAGAATATGAGGTTGAAAAGAGAAAGTTCCAGGGACGATCGGATCGGCACATTCGATTGCGTGCGAAGCTGATAATCCGAAAGTCTCGAGTTCGATTCTCTCCTTCGCAATAAAAGTTTTTAAAAGAATAATTAAAATAATGTATCGTCCTTTAAATTTCACAATATAAAAAGTGTCGTGTATAAAATTCAAATGAAGCACCGAGAAGAAGCCCCTGGGCACAATCGTGCGTCTAGCGTTTGTGTGTGAAACGGTGCGAGAGTATAAGTACTGTCGTTGGACGCGTTAAGCCGATCTACGAACCTCGTAAATCGGTTTTCTAAGCAGTACGACACTTACTTTAGCGAGCATAAAAACCGAAGAAATCTAACATTTTTGGACGTGTTAAAATTTCAGGAGAAAGTCACCAGTTCGCCAACGGGCATAGTGCAACAACAGCCGCACCAGCTGCACTTGCCGATCAGCGCTCAAATACTGAATACAACCCAGGGTCTCCCTACGATCGTCCCGACGCTCCAGCACATCGGCCCGAGCCTGAGGGTGATACCCGGCGACACTAGGCAGCTTCTGGTCACTCACACCGGCGGTAACAGTGAGTCGAGGCCGCTTACGTTGGCCGTACAGAACTCGACGGATCAATCGAGGCCGCTGATCGCCGTGCAATCGAACACTGGAAGCGAGCCAAGGCCCGTGGCGTTGGTCGTTCACTCGTCCACGGCCAACGACAACCGAGTTACGTTCGTGCATTCGAACCTGTCGAACAACGACAGGCCGTTGGCTTTAGCCGTACAGTCGACCGCCAACGACGTCAGGCCGGTTACGTTCGTCCACTCGACGAACGAGGGTAGGCCGTTGGTCCTCGCCGCGCATTCCCCTGCGCTCAACGTATCCAGTGAGTAACACCTTTTTGATTTCGTAGTGACGACGTATGGTCGAGAGTACTCGCCTTGTCTCGTCTCATCAAGTCGAGTGTTTTAATTATGAATTATTCTTTTTTGTTACAGATGCTCAAACGAGGATAAGGACAGGGGACGCGCAGAGTACGCATAAAATGGTCGGTGGCGTGACGCTGGTAGGCGGAAACGGATCGGAGCTGACCAGACTTCCCGGTGGCGCTGAATTGAACATACTCCCGGCTAATGGTAATGCCTTACACTGAACAGTTTTTATTCCATTCCTGCGTTCGAAATCTCCTTCGGTTGCTAGAGCGCGATTATTTCTTATTTCTGACCGCGACCGATATTTTACTAATACTAAACTCGTCGCTACGTGGATCCACCGCATCATATTCCAAGGCCAGATCGGATTGTTTCGATTTCGCAATAAATTGGTGCTAGATCAAACTATTCCATTTGCAGAGCGATTCGTATTAAAGTGTACGAGCGGCTTTGAAAATGGTTGACAAACTTCTCGTCTCAGTTCTCAAAGAGATCAAGAGATACCCCGTGGATTTTAAGAGAAAGGGGCAACAGAATTTAACTTACCGTAGAAATTCCCATTATGGGTTGCAGGATTGACGTTGGGCCACGCAGGAGTGTCGCTTCAAACTACAACAGGTAAACCGGGCTCGACGGTGATGCAAAACGCTCCGTCCACAGATGGCATAGCCCACATCGTCGGCTCGCACACGCCCCTCTCGGGGCTGACGCCGATCGTCACCCCGATGACCGTCGTCTCTCAGGGGAACCAAGTGACCGCTCACATCCTGGCGCCGTCGAACCTCGCGGGGAAGATGATCACCACTCCTATACTGAAGTCCGTGGCGCAGATGCCGATCGTCAACGCTCAGTATATAAACACGACCACGTTGGTGAAGCCCGTGGTGGTTGTCAGTTCGCCGTCGACGTCGACGCCGCAGTCGACAACCGCCTCCAGCACGCAGCCCTCCTCGACGACTCACTCGACCGTCTGACAGAATCGAAAGAAAGCAAAGCTGGCTTGAGAAACGGCTACCATCGGGTGTATCGAAGCACGGGGCCACGGAGATCGCCTTAGGTCGGTGTCCGATCGACGCGTGTTCGCGTTCAGTTGTTCCCTGGGTACGGCGTCTGTACACGTGCGACTCGTCGCGTACCTTGGGAGGTACGACGTCACGGAAAACACTGAAACCGGTCCGTCGTGCTATTTCCCGACATCGAAGAAGAATTTCCTATTTAAAAAAAGGAGAAGCAAAAACACTTGGTTTGCGTTCCTTCGTGTTTTTTAACGCTCTTCCAAAGAACGAGCCGACTGAGATCCGCGAGGGAGGAACAAGTCCGTTCCTCGGATTCACGCGATTCTGTCATGGTACCTCAGATGCCTCGGAGAAGGAAGTACTTAGAGAGACGGGAAGGCAGCTTATGACGGAGGGAACAAGATTTTCTCCCTGAGTCGTCCAGAAGCAGCGGAAACGACGCCTGGTTTCTCGACGTAAGAGCAGTTTCATTGCTAAAATTTTCCGTGTCCAAAGTTTCTCGGACGATCAACTTTTCAATCGTTCGATCGAGAAACAAGAAAGTGGAACAACGCCTGCGTGATTGTTCGTAATTTACGTTGAATCGAATGTTAAGACGTTTTTTTTTTGGAAGAATCGATGGAAATTTGTATATGTTGTTGAATATAGTATTACGTAATGAATTCCAGTGACAGAGGAAACGGTTCGATAACAACAGAAATAATTTTTAAATCGCTTGGCCGTAAAAGATAAGTGAAAGGGTTTATACGTACTGTTTCTTTTTCCTTCTGGTACCTCGTCGCAATCGAAGAAGTCCAGCGAAGAAGGAACTGAAACGCGCCTTTGTTCGTCGGGGCAGCGACGTTTAACTTAAATCAATTGTACGATATATATAAAGATCGGTTGAGATGTCTGAAATTTAATTGGGCAAAACTTGAAATCGGGTGAATGACGGAGAACGTGCTTGCGCTTTTAAATTTAATCGACTATACATATATATATTTATATTATGTATACAGGGTGGGGGCAATAACTGTGTCCACCGTGAATATCTCCGTTAATTTTTGCATATCTCTAAAAATAACGGAGATATTCAGGGTGGACATAATTAGTGCCCCACCCTGTATACATATATCTATATATATATATATACTAAATAGTGGCTGTGGAGAAACGACTCATCGTTTACATTTGTAATTTACTTTCGGAATTTAAGGTGAATGAAAACTTCCATCCTGACCAAGTTTTTCTTTCTCTCTCTTCTCTTTTTTTTTTTAATTAATGTATAAAATGTGCTCAAGTATTTATTCGTTTCTATTTATTGTACAATATGAGAAATGTGTGCAAACACCTGAGCATGGTAAACGTTTTTTTTCCGTCTTGATTTATTAATTTCGATAGAATTTATCTGGTTTAAGAGGATTATTTTTTGCGAGGAAACGGAAAGAATGAGAATAAAAATGATTGCATGAAATGCATACGTTTCTTTTTTTTTTTTAATGATTTAATAGTTCGGTTTATGAAATGCCTCTGGTCTCTGATAGCCGGGGGCGTCGTATTTTTTTTGCATAATATTTTGCAGATCGGGAGAGAGAAACGCTTCCGGTTTGCGGCAGGGAAGCTACACGATCAGGATTATTATATAGATATAATCGTTTACCGTACTACTTTTTATATTAGCTGCGTTTTAAATTAATTTGCGTTTCACCTTGCAATACCAAGTTCTTTCTCGAACCATTAATTCGTCATACTCAACGCGAGGCCGTTAACAGGCGGTGTGTTCAGAGGTGGAACTGAACAGAAATTTCTACCATTTCGATTTATCGTTGTTAATAGAATCGCGAAAGTACAAACAGAAAGCTCTCTCTTGTTCGCAAATATTTTAGATTTAATTTCTCTGGCATTAAAATATTTTTCAAAATTTCTGGCTAGTCAACAATTGCATATTTTTAAATTATACAGCGACGTTTCTTTTATGCGAGTATGCGTGCGACTGTTAACGGTCTCATTTAGAATATCACGATTTGTACATTAGTATTATTATTAAAAAAGAAGGCAAATTCTATCTGCGTATTCAGACAGACAGACACATACACACACACGTATATACATATCTGTTGTTTTTTATTTTTAAATTATTTAACCGAAAGCTTTGGTCAGTCATTTTTACGCTCTACATTATTATATGTGTAAATATATAACGCGCTCGTGGACGCTCTGTGTCCCTAAAATCTGTCGCGGATAATTCGTTGAAGAATTTATTAAGTGATCGGTCAGCGGAGAGCAATAAAAATAAGTTTACGGATATAGATAGTTAAAAACTTTCTAAACGATCTTCAGAATCTGTTTTTATAACATTAAAACACCTCGAGGGAGAGAGAGCTGTAATATTTAATTATCTTCTTATTATATTTGAGTTTTATAAAAATTCCTAATAGAAGAACTCGTCCTCTTCGAGGGACATTAAATTGTTTTTAAAACATCAAAAGACTTAAGAAAAAAAGAGAATTCTAATCCGAAATTATTATTTAGTTTAAATATTTTATAAATTTTTATTATATTCGAGTTTTGTAAAAATAGAACTCTTATCCTCTTCAAGGGAGACTAAATTGTTTTTAAAACATTGAAGAAGAGTTATAATCATAAATTATTGTTTAGTTCATATATTTTACAGCTTCTTATTAGAATTTTGTAAAAATTCCTAAGAGAAGAACTCTCGTCCTCTTCGAGGAGCATTAAATTGTTTTTAAAACATGAGAAGACTTCAAGAGAGAGAGAAAGAGAGAGAGAGAGAGTTGTAACCCAAACTTATTGTTTAGTTCACAAATTTTACAGCTTCTTATTATATATTCGAGTTTTGTAAAAAATTCTTCATAGAAGAACTCTCGTCCTCTTTGGGAGACACTAAATTTAATTCGAACGAGACTTTTCTGCCTATGCGTAATTATCGAATAATGTTAACCGCGTTTCCGAAACGAGAGCCAATTATCAAAGAAAATACCGTGTATTTAACATAGCAATATTTTTTAACAAATAACCAGGTGACTCTAGCGTACGTTTCAATTATAATATCGCCTATCTTCTAACGACTCCGACGACGTATGCTGGACACCGCTGGTACGTCGCCTTACGAAAATCCAGAAGAATCATGGATCTACAGAAATCCGGGAAAATCGGGACGAGTTCTCGAGTAATACTCGTCCCGATTTTCCCGGATTCTCCGAAACCTCTAATACACGCGGTGTCCAGAATTCGTATCACAGTCCAAGCGTATCAATGTCCAAGTTCTCGTGAACAGAAGAAGAAAAATTCGAGGGAGCGATCCCTTGGTACCAGAGGATACAGTAGAACTCCATTATAAAAACGATTATTAGGGAAACGAATAATTTGCGTAACTAACTAGTGTATATCAGCCTTGCTACCCATTTTTTATCATTTATTTTAATACAAATTCACGTTTGTATATGATAGACTTGATCGAATAGAGCCAGATAATCATTAGCTGAAATATGTTCTATTTCAAATAAGTGTCCCAATTTCTGTTCACAATTTCTGCTCGCTGAATTATTCCTCCGTTTTAAGAGAACGTGAAATCATAGGAAAACAAGTGAGCGAGCAGGGATTGTGAAACGAATAGGAACGAACGAATGAATGAACGAGAAAATGAATTTTTCTATAATTTTAAGGTGGCGTGAAACGATAGAAATAATGCAGAATCGAGAGAGCGGAGTTCCACTGTAAATATCGTACCGGGAATGTTTGTAAAAGAGATTTGAACCACGAAATTCGGCGCTCGCACTAGTCATTATCGTTCCCTCCTTCGTTGATTCCTAACGCGATCAAACGACGAGCCGTCGCTATGGTTGGGCTTTCAAATTCCGATTCGGCCCCCTCTTCGCCTCTTAAAGTATTAGAAGAATTTCCGTCTCTGTTTTTCAAATCCGAATATCGTGCAATGCATGTGTAAATAATTGTATCCGATGGGGCATTCTTAACATGCTAGTAGCTAAACGGAACGAGCAATAGAAAGTGCGGATCAACTTTTACTCGTCCGAGGAACGCGAACAGAGTAATCGTTCTTTAATTTAAAAAAAAAAATCACGCATTAATTTTAATAAGTTTAATTATAATTACGACGACTTCTCTTTCGCGTTCGACGAACGAACAATTCGTAGAGGTGTAAATTCGTGGTAGGATAAATCAAATGGGCAGAAAGAGAGGATAGACGAGTGAACGAATAATCCTTTTTTGTACATAATTGAGAAGAATTTAAAAAAAAATGATGAGACCTCGTCGGGAGGACCCTCGGGGGAACAAAATCGAGTCGACGTTGGGGGGGTGTAGTAGAGAGTTGCGGAGAGAGAAAATTTATGTATGTGTACATGAACAATGTGATATAAGTAATTGAAACACGATTACTTAGCACTGTAGCGTTTAAGTGAAGACGAGAAGGAAAATACTGTTAAATCGTTTACAGCGTAGGCGTACGATGCTAATTATTTACTAACATCCTAAAAAATGATGAACCTAAATGTACATAGAATTTTTGCGTGAGGGAGAGAGAGTGATAGACAAACAGAGAAAGAGAGAGAGAGAGAATGAGAGAAACTAAAGAATATATCACGAGATTGCTAAATACAATTAGTATATCGAAGACGACGAGGATGTAGAAAGGTGAAGGACCGACGGGAGGGGATGAAATAAAGAAGAGAATCCATGAGGAAAAATGAAAATCTTCACCGTGTCTTGTACAATATATCCCTCGTGATAATAGAGCCTGTAGATCATTTTCGCGTGAATGGGACGACGTGTAAAGAGAAGAAGAAGAAGAAGAAGAAAATGAAGAAGGAGATACAAGGGTGTGCATTTCGTGCGGAAGAGTGCTGTTGTTGTTGTAGTATATATGTCGAATTCTGTTATATACCGTCGCTGGTATATACGCGAGGATACGCTGGTATATCTCGCGAGCCTCTGAACGATTTTGTTGAGGACGATTTATTGGAAGTGCGCGAGAACTCAGAAGAAGAGGTACGACCATGGACGAAGTTGAACAACACTTTTTGTTCTCAAAAAGAGTGCGACAAATTTCAATACAATCTATTACAATAAAAGAACACGTAAACGTGACGGAGAGATTTGCCTGAACCCCCTTTTTGTGATCGTCTTCTAATCGTTCAATCACGGTAAGGAATCAATTTCATTTATGGACACCCTCATTAATATTTTTGTTCACGTTTATAAATTTCTTTAATTATTTTAATTTTGTCCAAAAGTTTCGTAGATTGAAATGAAAAAGAGGATTTGAAAGTCTGGTTCATTTAAAAGGATTGATTAAAAGACAGAAGAACATGAGTATTGTTTGTGCCTGTTTTTTCACTTGAAATTAATTAGTCGAATGTTGGAGTGAAGCGAGCATCACATTTCGTAAGTGAAAAACCAATTTATTTTTTCACACTGCAACTTTACCATTTACAATTCCGTCACATCATACAATATGCACAGGATGTCCTTCTTTAATCTATTATCATAAATCCTGTGTGACTGGCTCGTTGAAATTATTTTTAATCACACGTTCCCAACGTGTTCAATTAGCTTCATAGACGGACATGTAAGTATTTCATAGATGGACATATAGTATATATATGTATATGTATATTAGGAAGAGCGTATATTTTTCTCGACGGCTCTCACGTTCACGTAATAGATTAAAGTAGAACAGGCTGTATGTCAGGCGCGTGTCGAAGACAAGAAAATAGAAACGAGAACGTATTACAATTATCGCGTCGAGTCAATCGATCCGCGAGTCTCGAACATTTCTCATTTTTATACGGTATCCATTTATTAAAAATATCCGCTAATTCACACCGTGTGTCTGTAGATTATAATACCTTTCTTTATGCATGTCTGCTGTTTCTTCATAAGATTAAATCGCTTTATTAAGAATTAATCATTTCAATCAGAGATTTAAGCTGTTTTTCACAGTCGTTCCTTATATATTTAAGAAAATCTTAAGCATTTAAGTCCCTGTTTTCTGTACAAGGGATAGCAAATGATTAAGACGATCTCAAGAATAAGCAATGATTCTGAACACCAGCCTTAGTCTTACGGTCATTAATAATAAAATCATTTCCATTAATAAATTTCTCTAAGTGGCAATTGAAGTATTGAAGTGAAATAAAAAACGAAACGTTGCCAATGGGTGTTGAATTAAATGAAAGATTTAATATGGAAAGGGTGTGAATATTTTTATACTTTATTTATGTTTTTAATATAAGATTTGTAACTTTATTTGATGCTTCAAACTTTTGACATGCCTCATCGGTGTGTCTGTATGCTTGTTCCATTACTTTCAATTAGATTATGATACAATCATTTAATATTGTCCTCTATCTACGCGTTCGAGACATCATCTAGCATGTAATTCTGAAAATATTCATCTGACGTTCCGCCGCTTACAAAAGACTAGACGCGTTCCTCCTTAGTAGAATTTCGAAATTTCTAACTACGATCATTAAATATGCCGTTCCTCCCTTCCACCCTCGCCCGTTTCCCGTCATGTTCAATTATCTGGCCCGGTCGTTAAACGCATTTTGTCATTCTTTTTTGGTCGGTTCGACAGACTCAACTGTCGAAGATCATCGCCGCGCCTACGTGTAACATAATACATATAGAATCGAGTACAGAGTTACATTATGAGTCCTGCGATGATTCACAATTCGAGTTGATCAGCTTTGAACGATAACACACTTACAGATTTCTTGTCGCGGTTATCTGCGACTAAAAAGCCAGAGATTTCTCCGGTTTATACGCGATCTTCATGACTTCCGGTCGTTTAGAACTCTCGCAGTGTACATATCTCTGTATTAAAGTTTATATTAATTCGTTCAGACGAATAAATATAATTACGAGCCTCACCCGTGAAACTGGCATTCGCAACGATTAAAATTTCATTAACAAAACGTCGATCAATACTTAATTACTACGAATTAAGAAGCATCGCGTTCGACCAAAGCATGCGAGTAAAAGGTATAATAAAAATAATCGTAATACGGTAAATAATTAAACAAAATATATTATTGATATATGTATATTATATATATGTATATATATAATATCATGTTTCTATAAGTATAAAGGTACTCTCGATTGCGTGAGTGTGGCACTCCGTACGTACGTAAAATCAAATAAAAAATATCTCGAATCGTACCCACGAGGATCGATCCGAAAATCGAGTATAATTAAAGTAGATTAAATAATCGTCGGTAGCGCAATTAATCCTTGTATATCGAAGAAGGTCAGTAAGAGTGGAATGTGATAAGCAAATTCAGAATAGAATAATAATAATTCAATTCTTCGAGAGTCTCACCTCTGAGGTGATCGACTATTTCAGCCATGAAATTGTAAAGTATTTTTTATTAAAAATTATAATTATAATATAAGAAATTAGTAAATTAGATTTACATAAGAATGGGAGATCCAAGATTTATCCAAGCCATGTATTGTGCGCTAAAAACTGAATCCTTAATTGACTGATTTCAGCAGCCTGTTTAAAATGGAAACTTCCATTTAAATAAACAGAACTGATTATTACTAACTCTTCGATATACAAGCAACTGCAATTTTTGATTGCAAGTCTAAAAGAACGCGTTTAAAATATTACAGATTTCAAGTACTAAACTACTTTACATATAGTAGCAACACTGTTTTCGTAGACTAGAATAAAATGAACAAATGCAAAATATATATTAAATATGTACAGCGTTTTTCTAAAAGTAAATATAATGTGTATTTACACATGGAGTGTTAAAAAACAGGTAGTAGTTGTTAAATAAACAATTCTAATACAGTTTGACTAACTTGTTATGGCATCAAAATTGCTGAAATAATTCATTCTGATTTTTATAAAGATTGAGAATTTTTTAAAAATTCATCTCTTCTTATGTGTATAAAAATAAAATCATTGGAACGTAGAAATTAGATTCAAATCATTCACGTTAAAGAAACAGTGTTGCTCATTGAAACGAAAGCAATTAAAGCATAATTCCTATGATACATTTTTAAAGGCTTACAATGTCTGTTGAATTCGGCCCCGAAGGCATATAATACGTCGATCGTTAATAATTATTAAGCTAAATATCAATATACGAAACAAGACGACTCGTACAATCACTCTGAAATTGTTAGTAAAATATTGACATTCGGTTAGATTGATAATTAATTAATTAATTAATTAATGAAGATACTCGGTTACGAATTGTATAAACGTGTAACGAAACGAACACTCTTATAAGAAAAGCAGCTAGGCTAATCCTTGTTTCACTTAACTAGGCTCGAACGACAACGTGTACCCTCTATTCCCTTCTCCCCTTTCATTTGTCAACTGCGTCGATAAACAATCCAATTTTTTAAAATCATATCCTCGCTTACACTCATTTTTATTTCTACGTATTTATTTTGTTCATTTAAACAGAGCTGAACTTTCAACTGGTTTTTATAATTGTTTATTAAAAAAGTGGATTGCGTTGACACGTCTATCTATTGTAAAAACGATACTTCGACGGGATCGCAACTTCCTCAAGAATGAAAGAACTTGTCGTGGCTTGTGAAAAAGTCTTTCGTTTGGTCGAATATTTCATATAGAAAATATCAGAAGTTATAGAAAATTGCTTACACGTGTTGCAGTGTTGGAGAGAACTTGTGGGTTAAAATTTAATCCAAAGAAATTGAAACTCTTGAGGAATCAATTTGTCATCTCCTCATCTTAAGGATGAATTTCTTAGAACACGATTTTAAGAGACGTGATAAAAAAAGATTTTCTACATTTCCTTTTTCATTATTACAGTTGCGATCTTATTAATTCTCTTTCAAGTGACAAGAAATAATAAAGAGTATAGAAAAATTATTCTTAAAAACTTGTACTCGTGAAACTTTTAATACAATGGCTAGAAGAAGTGTTTCGTTCCACGTTAATTCTTGGTAAACGTATACATTCTCATATAGAAGACGTGTATAATATAAAATGTGATAATGTTCGATTAAAATCAATTTACATTAATTTGTATAATTCGATGGAACGTGAAAGTTAATTGATCTAATAACAATAATGGGAGTATTTGTAAAAATGAAAATCCCGTCATTTCCTAAAACCATTTATAACGCGAAATTTCTGTTTCTAGAAAAAGAATGAGAAAAATTGTATCTCCAAAACGTTTCACGTTATTCGAAGAGTTCTAAGAAACCACCGCGCGCGTAAACGTTTTTACTATCTAATTTGTTTTCAATTCCCCCGGCGACGAACGATTAAAAATAATTTTCGATTATACCCGTCGCCGAACGGTGGAACGAAAGATCGAACACTTTGTCAGTTTCAGCTGTTTCTTTTTTTTTTTTTCTTTTTTGTTGTATGTGAACCTTGTTTCGTAAAGCCACGTAGACCACAGTACGTTTCTCCGTTCTCTTTTCTTTTTTCCTTCGTACAATTTTTAGATTTGTCTATCGTAGAGTTTGAACTTTTGTCTGTGTGACAGTTAGACACGAGAGAAAGAAGAATAGCTCGAGGCAATTGGAATTTAACACAGACGGCGAACAGCCTCCTCGCATTGACTACCCATCGGAAAAGGGGACCGCGCTAAGCCTTTAACACTAATTGTAAGAATAACTTACAAGTATAAAACATCATATTTCATTCTTCTCTAGTTCATTTTTTTTTGTCTCATATAATAATCGGCATTTATACATCGTCTCCTTATTATAACAAAAATATTAATAGACGTGGACCTCGCAGTCACTTCTTAAATCCCTCTTAGAAGGATTTGAATTTCTTATCGAAGTCAGCTCGTTCTATAATTTCATTTGTACTGCTCTAAACGTATTACACTTTCTCGTTTTTGTTCGTTTAATTAATTGGGAAGACTTGTTAACTGTGAGAAACGACGGTCTTACGTCTTTGCACTTCCCTTTATTTAAGTGCACACGATGTGCTTTAAGGATGTATTGGCTATACAGTCAATACCAAAAGTTTATGTG